ACATTAGTAACAAAGAAACAGAATTTCCAGAGGATGAGGCCCAGAAATCGGGATTTTAAAAAGATTCCCAGGTGATTCTAATGTGCAGCCAAGGTTGAGAACCACGGGTCTGGAGGCTCTCAGGCTGCTCAGAGCCAATTCACAGATGCATCTCAGATGGAAAGAGAAATGAAAGAAATGAAACATGGTGGCAGCACGGGCCTGCCTTCCCAGGAGAGGGAGTGAGGTGAGGAAAAGAGAGCAGAGAGGTGGGACCCCACAGGGCCTCCAGGTGTTAGCGAGGGTGTCATCAAATTACGCAGCAACCCTCCTTTTCTCTTCAGACACCAGACAAAGCTGCCCTGGCTAATTCCAACCAGCGCTACTGGCCCAGAGCGTTGCCGGAATCTACACGGTAGGGGAGAGGTTTCTGGGTGTTGAGAGCAGCGCCGGGAGTCGGCTCTCTGAATTGTCTCTACAAGGCGACAGGCCTCCCCAGTTCTGCAGCCGTCATCGTTTTTAATCACCGATGCTATTATCCTCAAGCGAGGCAGAGAAAAACATTTCTACATCCACTGCCTACAGATGCTCTGCCATGGCTTACTGGGCGTGGAATTTTTTTTTAAGGCCAAGGCAATAATAGCTTAGAGGAAGAAAGTCACACACACACACACACACACACACACACACACACACACTCACACAAAGGTAGGCAGCCCGGGCAGCGTGGCTTGGTGGTTGAGCATCAACCTATGAACCAGGAGGTCACGGTTCCATTCCCAGTCAGGGCATATGCCCAGGTTGTGGGCTCAATCCCCAGTGTGGGGAGTGCAGGAGGCACAATGATTTTTCTCTTATCATTGATGTTTCTATCTCTCTCTCCCTCGCCCTTCCTCTCTGAATTCAATAAAAATATATATATATTTTTTAAAAGGTAGGGAAAGAGCCCCTAAATCTACTGCCCAGGCCATAGTCTAAACTCCAGACTGAGCTCTAGACTGAGGCCAGCAAGGCTAAAGGTGCTAGAGTAAGAAAGGACATCCCCAGAGATGACTCTGGGAAGAGGACACCCCAGTCCCAGGCGGGTTCCCAGGACCTTGAGGGGTTACAGCCAGAATCTCAGGCTAGGTGATATACTGGGGGCTAAGGAGAGCAGCCCGTCAGTGACGCGGGAGACGCAACTGCTCTGCCAGCAGCCACACCCAGCAACCTCCCAGCCATCTCCCACACACCCTAGCAGCGGGGTCGCTTTGCGGGCCACCTTCCCCCCGTATCTGCTGGCGACTAACCCCATTCGCAGAAAAGCTGGGAGGAAGAGAATGGGAAGGAGAGAAAAGTTGTTTGGGAGATTCTGAATGAAGACGTTGAAGGATTCCTCACCGAATAAGGAAAATGGCCTCCATGGGAAGAGAAGGGGTTGGGGAAAAAGGAGAAGGGGACAGGCCACACCCGACTTACCTGGGCGGCCGGGAAGGGGTTAAGTCATATTTTCCATGCTGATCAGGTTTCCACGGAGCGGCCTGGTGATGCGCCACATCCATCAGCACTTTGGGTCCCGGAACCGCAGTGGTGGCTCAACAGCACCTGCAAGAGGGAGAAGGCAGAGATCCAGCCCACTCTGCCTGTACCACCCAGCATGACACCCTCAGTCACCACCAACTCTCCCGAGGTCGGCTGACACCTCTGCCTGGCGAAGGCAGATTTCCAGAAACTCCAAGGCGGGTGAGGGCAGGGAGCAGGCGCAGTTCCCGGATGCCGGAGCTGAGCTTGCCCTCATGTACCCTAAAGAAAATCAAAGGAAGGAGGAGGAAGGGGTGGGGAAAGGCAGGGAAGACAAGAGGTCCAACAGAAGGAAGGGGGAGGTCAAAGCAAGGCAAACAGGAAACCCAGAAGACATACCAGAGGCTGGTCTTCGCCACGGGTCACGCTGTGCCTTCAGCCACATCCAGGGCCTGGTCTCTCCTCGTCCGAAGTCCAAATCCATCGAGGCTGTCAGCCCCTCCTCCATCAGTACCCTCATCCATATGACCTTTGTATCCATCCGCATCTGAATTAGGGGAAGAGAGCTGGGCAGCCCTGAATCGGGCGAACACACACACACACACACACACACACACGTACACACGCCCCTCCCAGAACGAAAGGCCCCTGAGAGATGCCTCACTCTCTAGGTTCTGATCCTCTGGTAGAACTACTCCTCTCCCACAGGGGAGGGCAGACACGTCCGATAAGAATTGCTTAGCGAAGGCTATATATAGTCTAGGTTCCAACCGGCCTAGAGATTTGGAGCTAGAACTTGGCAGAGAACCATGCTAGATGCTGGCAAGGACCAGCCTCCCTCAGCCAGCCAACTGAGAGCCTCACCTCCCTGCCGGGGGCAGGGAGGGCAAACAGGGTCCTTCCATTTGGCCCATTAACACTCTGCACTGAGGGACACGGGCTTTTGGCTCCATTTTAGGGAAAACCGACGTCTCCGAAATGAGAGGGGGATGTGTGGGGGCTGAACCCTGAGTTCTAGCCTCTCTACAGCTCTCCGCACAGCAGGAGAAAAGCAATCCAGTCCTCTCTTCCGGAGCACCAAGGGTGGGGCATGCCGGAACAGAATGGAGACGCCACAGCAGCTGGCTGGGGTCAAAACACATCTATCCACTCCCGATGTCTGAAGGAATAAAAGAATGCAGACAAATACTTACTGCACGGAGCCAGGCTGCCACGCATCTGTCTCTTTTTGGGGGGTGACAAATAAATGCAACGGGTGCACATGACCCCACAGTATGGCCGCTGTCTTCTGCAACCAGCACCATCCTCAGCTGGGCAGAGTCTCCACAAAGTTGTCACTCACGGAGCTCAACTCCTCTTGAGTTCTCTGTGGGGAAGAAGCAAAAGGAAGACAGGTGGGCTCAGCTACAGGGCCAGCCGCAAGCAATTCGTTGTGCAGGCTCCAACCAGGCCCCGTTAGGGTTACGATGTGGCCCTGGGACCGTGGCCCTCCGCTGCGGCTCAGCATCCAGTGACAGAAGCAACACTTTGCTGGGCCCATTGTCCTGGGGAAAGACCAGTGCCACTGGGCACAGCGTCTTGTCAAGGAGGGCCTGTCCACCAGCTCTTTCAAAGACAAACCTGAGGCTGGCGTGGCTCGGTGGTTGAGCGTTGACCTGTGAACCAGGGGGGGCATGGTTGGATTCCCAGTCAGGGCACATGCCCGGGTTGTGGGTTCGATCCCCAGTTGGGGGCGCGCAGGAGGCAGCTGATCAATGAATCAATGATTCTCTCTCATCTTTGATGTTTCTACCTCTCTCTCCCTTTCCTTCCTCTTTGAAATCAATAACATTATTAAAACAACAACAACAACAAAACCTGAGGGACGACGGAGCTCTCTGAACTACAGAGTTGGGGCTCTCTTCATACACACAGCTTCTGGACAAGGAAACATGAGACTCAAAGCATCCAACACCCACCTATATATGATTTTTTTTAGGTCAAGTTGCTCTGTACTCAGGCTCAAAGAGACATGACGCAAAGGGGCTGGTGCTGCCTGTGAGCTCTGGGTGGGGACGGCTGGCTCACCCATCGCTCTGACCAACTGTCCGCTGTGACCTCGGTCAGGTCTCCCTGCTCCCTCAGCATCCCAAGGCCCCACAGCCACTCCTTCCAGAGGTCCCCCTGTGAGTCCCGCCCGAGGTCTCTGGGGAAGGGAGGGGGTGCCAGCATCGCCTGTGGGAAAGCGTGAGACTGAGCAAGGGGGACACAGGGACAGGAGGCCGGGAGCTCCGGGCCAGGCTGCCCCTCCGTCCCCACCCACAGGTTGTCTGCTCCCCTGCCCTGCGACACGGAAAGGGGGAGGAGAGCAAGCGAAGCCAGATGCTGGGGATAATGGTTTGGCCACCATTCAGCGGCAATGGAGCTCCGTGTTCTCTTCCTCCCAAGCAGGGATGGTGGGGCGGGGCCGGCGGGCGGGCGGGGCCTGGGGGAAGGTCACATGCACTCAGCGCAATGCGGCAGATTCAGGAAAAGCCTAGAACCCTGAGCCGCCATGACACCCCCCGCCACCTTTCAGGTCAGGAACTCAAGGTCTACAGTTTTCCCTGAGAAGGGAGGGAGGCAGATGAAGGGGTGGGGGGTGGGGGGAGATAAGCTTTGATTTGGGAAGGCAGGAAAGGGGGAGGCCCGAGCAGGCTACCCAAGAGCTGAGCTTCAGCTTAAGGCCAGGCATGTGTCTCCACCATCTTCACATGATGCCAGCTGAGAAAACCTAAGATGCCACATCCCCACGATGGGCATTTGTTCGTGGGGTCCCGGAGCGCTCCTGCTAGCCCGGCCCCCACCCCAAGAAGAGACCCCCACCTTCTGTCCAAGGCAACGAGCCACAGGGAGGCATCCCCAAGGGGCCCTGGCAAGATGTCTCCCATTTGGGACTCATGAGAGGAGCTCAAGAAGCGACCCTGTTTGTCAAGTTCATCTAAAAATACAAACAGCTGCGTGTTCTTTTCCGATTCTAAGCAGCGAGGGCCCACAGAACCCTGGTGAGTCCCCGGGGCTCCCCCCGGCCCCGATACCCAGCGGTGGGCTTCTTGCTGCCCAGCCCGTGTTGAAAACGACCCTGGTGGCCGCCGCGGGGTCAGCTCCCAGCCCCGACAAGCTGTGTCTGCTTTCACGCTGACAGAATGTCCTGGCCATTCAGCTGAGCGCTCCATCTTCCTGCTCCCAGCGCACTGAGTCATCATCCAGAGAGGAAAAAAACAACAGAGCAGCCGTCACCAGGGTCCCCACTGCCGTCGGCTGGCGACTCATGGCTGTCGTCACTCTCTGCTCTGCAGCCCCAGAATTGGTGACGAGGGGCCTCGGGGTGCCCAGCTCCCCTCCCATGGATGCGTGGCAGGAAGCAGGCAGCCACGGCTGCGAGGAGGGGAGGGAAACTAACCTGGCATCCAGAGGCTCCCAGGAAGGCGCCCCGGTTAACCCTTCCTCTGCCACCACCGGTCCTCCGGCTCCGTTCCCGTGGCCTCGCTCGGAGGCAGACGGTGGAGGGGCATTTACTCTGGGTGGGGAAGGGCACGGCCTGGCAGGCTTCAGGTGCCTGCTGCCTGGGGACCTTCTCCCCCCCACCCCTGCCCTCTGCTTCTGCTGTCCCTGAAGGCACGCAAGCTCCCCTCGCCCCCATTTCTTCTCGAGCCCAGCCAACTGCTGTGTTCCTTCCTCGCGTCCCTGCAAACCTACTGGGTAGGGGCAAGGGAGCCACACTTCCGGTCGGGAACCTATTTGCTTGGCAAGGTATCAGGCATTTCTGTGTAGTCACAGTGGCTCCATCTCCCTGACTGAGGACACGGAGACTTAGGAAGATCAAGTCATTTGTCTAAAACCACCCGGTGAAGACGAGGCAGGGTCCAGACGCAAACCTCCGTCTGTCCAAGAGCAATCCATGTCCCTGCTCCCTGCCTCCCACGCTCTCCACTCCCTTCTGGGTTCTGGAGCTGCTTTCTGCTCAGAAGACACCATACCCCACCCAATCTCCTCATCCTCTTCCAGGATCATTGAGGTTTGTCAATGCATCCATGTCAGCTACAAAACAAGAAGCCGGCCTCCTGAATGAAACCGGCCACAACCGAAGAGGATGAAGTCAATGAGGGTGGTATGGGCCAGCTAAGGGACCCAGGCCGTAGGTGCAAAAGGACCGGCCACCCCAAGTCCCACCACGCATTAGGATTAGGAGCTTACAAAATTCCTTAAATAGTCACGTTGGGGGGACCTACCTCGTCGTTCAAAGGCATTTTGCAGACACAGAGGATGGAGAGAGGAAAAAAAACCACAAAGGCTTTGAGAGACCAGGGTTCGAACCATGATCAGAACACTTACCAGCCACGGGTGCTCCCCGCAGGGTTGGGGTGAGGAATAAATGAAATGACCGCTGTGAGAGAGCTGGATGGGGGACCCAGCAGGCAGGAGGCACCCACTGGCTACGTGTGAGCTCACAATCTAATAGGTGATGTGAGATTTACAGACAAAAAACAACAACTAAAGGAGCATAAAGGGGGGATGAAGCCCATGGGAGCTGGGCCCAAGGGGGCAGGGGTGGCTTTGAGGACCCCGCTGGTGAAGGGGAGGACGGGTCCGCGGGGGATGGCGGGCACTGCGGCAGGTGAGTGGGTGCCACGGAAAATGCCACTGGTGAAAGCAGAGATGGGAAAAGCAAGCAAAAGGAAGTCACCTGGTTTTGCAAGAATCTGTGGCCACCTAGGGACAGGATCTAAGGCTGGCTGCAGACAGCCCCCGGCAGGCAGCCTGCGAGGGGAAGGCTCTCCTCTGGATCGAGGAGAAACCATTTCACGTTTCTGGGCAGGAAGACAAGATGGCTGCTGCACGCAGCCGGCCGGGAACGGCATGGGGATGGGGACGGGGACGGCAGGGCGCCTGCTGGGCTCGGGGGATCGGCTCTGGCAGGGGCCTGAGCACAAACAGAGGGGAAAATGGCAAACAGGCAGGGCCATCTGAACAGATCCTCGAACTGCCAGGGACCACCCCACCCCTGCCCGTGGGAGGCTGCCTGCCCGAGGCAGACCTATTTGGGGAACCCCAAGCACAGATCCCACACGTCTGAGATGAGCTGCCATGGCTCTGCCTCCTCTCACGCCCAAGATCCAGCCGTTTGCCCGACAGCCCTAAGCCTCAGGCTGAGGCATGATGACCCAGGCCTTGGTTCAGCAGGGCCCCCGCTCTGGCAACACCAGGGCCCCAGGGGTGAACCCCCACCAGGGCTGTGCTTGGGGTTGGGACTGGGCCACCTTCACTGCGGCAGCC